CTCTTTCCATTGCCACCCCAACCTTTCACACCTGAGCACTGCACTCGAAAGCAAAATCCACATCCCAAGCTAAGCAATTCTCTGGCAAATCATAAAATTAAAAGCAAGGCCTGGCGAGCATTAATGAGCTGGCAATAAGCGAGACTCATTGCAGAGTTTAACCGTTCCAGCACTGCTAAACATATTTGCACAAGAATCGAATGCATTTTTTAAAAAAACACCCAAACCACCACTTTTCTATCACCAGGAGTATATTCACTGCTAAGGTAGCAACAGAGAAAAATTGCTTACGCTTCTTCAGTCATATACAAAACGGTTACAGTTTTTCAAACACAGACCAGCTCAGCAAACTCACCGTCAGTTTGTTAAAGCGTGAGAACCCGGGGCTTAGCCTCGCTTCCTCAGAGGAGGGAGCTGCAGCACTAGCACACATAGCTCCAGCTGAGAAAATAATCGCTAAAAAGATAATCCCAGAGCAGACCAAAGCCTGCAAGGGCCGCTGGAATTACAGCACAGGCTGTACCAGCAAGCAACAGCTTGTGATCCAGGAGAAATCTCTAAATAAACACACTCTAGAAACAATTTTTGCTTTCTCATTTCCATTACTTCACTGGCTGATAAGCATGTGGCTGTGGAAAAACAAGGACCAGGTCACCCAGAGAAGCTGTGGCTGCCCCATCCCTGGAAGTGTTCAAGGCCAGGTTGGATGAGGCTTTGAGCAACCTGGTGTAGTGGAAGGTGTCCCTGCCCATGGCAGAGAGGTTGGAACTGGATGGTCTTTGAGGTCCTTTCCAACCCAAACCATTCTATGATTCTATAGGAAGGCTTGAAGGAGGATAGCAGCAAAACTCTTTGAGAAGCACCTCCTTCCTCCAGCATTGAGCAACAGACAGGGATGCTGACAAGAAATTCCTGGAGGTTTACCACGGTGTTATGCCTTGGTAAGGCAGGAATAAATCTGTGAAAGTTTTCCTAGGTAAAATCCACTAGTAGGTCCAAATAAACACCCTATGCCCGAATAACTGGAGCATGGGTTACTTCCAGTAACCCACTCCGTGTGTGTCACTGGTGACCCCTCTACTCACCACCTTCTCTCCATCGCTGTGTCCAGTGGCCACAGGCTCAGAAGTACAAAACGGATCAGAGCCGCTTCCGCTTTTCTGCGGAGATGTTTTCCCTTCGTGTGCCGAGTCTCCCTCTCGATTTATGCAGCTTGTAAAGCCCTCCCTGCTTTCATTTTCCTTCTTCTGAGGCACAGAAATATTTCTCAATACACCACCTGCCTCAAGAATTTTGTTCCTATCAGCTGAATTAGGCTTTGGAGTCGTTGCTGGTCCAGGCTGATCGTTTTCTTGCAGAGATTTGGGGAGACCCTGGAGAGACTTAGTGTCTACAGCTGGTTTTTTAGAATGTGATTTCTTCCTGGCAGAAAAGAACGCTGCTCCCAGCTGGAGTTTCAGGGCTGGTTTAACTGTCATGCTTAGGACTCTGAAGGGCGAATCCATCTTCTTTTTAATCAGGCAATTCACATTCTCTTTCTCCACATTGGGTTTTCCTGCTGGTATCTCTCCCTTTGCCTTCTTAAGCCTTTTGAGGACAGTTTTGCCATGCTTGGAATTGGTTGTCTTCTTAGCTGGCTTTGAGCTCATATTCCTGCTCAAGTTCATGTTCATCTTCTCCGTCCTGCTGGCAGCTGGAAGATTTTCACCCCTGTTCCTCTCCCCCAAAGAGTGGTTCTCGTTCAGTTGTTTCCTCTCAAGAGGAGTAAGGTATCGCTTTTCCTTGCTATAAAAAGTCACCACAGGCACACGGGGCTTGTAGGAGGAAGCAGTCTTTGGGGATAATTTCCTTGAGGGCTCCATCCGTGCGGCTGTGGGAACAGCGGCTGCCTGAAGGGGTGAGACATCCAGCCTCCTCGACAGCACCGGCTTCACCGGGACAGCCTCGTTTTCTTTCATCTCGTCACTGGAGCTGGATGACCATTTCATTTGAGGAGTAAACCAATTATTTCTCGATTTCTTGAGTGGAGACAGACTTTCAGCAAAGCCTGTCATCATTTTTTTCACGGGAGTCTCAAAGGCTAAGGACGAACTGTAGGAATAATCAGAGCATGAAACATCACATACACGATTGAAAGCTTTTCAATTATTGTTTTACTTAAATAACACTTATTTTCACTCAGCCTAGTTGCCTCTACTGGTGTATGCCCTGTAATAAATACAAATATTGAATACCAAAATATAATATACAAATATCAAAAGACCTACCTAAGTCTGTCTTGCCAATCTCCATGGGTTTTTTTTTAAATAGCAAATCTATTTTCCTGCCTGAACTTGTTAAA